TCTTTTGGTCACATCTGTTTTACTTGCTGACATAGCCTGTGGGTTTCTGCTGCCAGAAAACCTGTGTTGTGCTTTTTGTCTCTCCAGTAGCTAATTTAAAAAATACAGAAACTTTTTTTTTTTAACTACACACTCAGACTGTATCAGGCCCTCCATCCTAAGTGCAGAAACAGCCATGACTCCCAGTGGTACCATGCACGTGAGCTGCCTGGTCAGTAAGGAGCACCCAGGTCAAACCAGTTTCCCTGTGCCCCATTCAGTTCTATCAACATTTGTTAAGCTACTATGGGGGACCAGAAAAGTATCACACAGGTCTTGCCCTCAAGGAGTTTGCAGTCATGCCAACAAGAATCTGTCCTTGTAATTGCCCTGTTTTCCTATCTTCATTAATCTGTTTCTGCAATAGCTTATCACTTAAATAGCAATAAGATCCTAACTTTTCTTAGAATAGTTTCTATAAACCACTGCCGTTAATTCAAGAACTACTTATTTAGTGTCTACAGTGTGCCAAGTGAGCTTTACAAGTCCCAAAACCAACTTATCCAAAAAAGCAATTATGCTGATTACCAAGGATTTCCTTTTAAATATACGTCTCTCTGCTACCTTAGTGTTCAGAGTCGAGTTGAGGTCTCCTCCCATTTGTGTCCTGGAGGCCACCTGCCCTCAGCCCCTGCTGGTGGTCTGGGCAGCACTGAGTCACAGCAGCCAGTCTCTAAGCCGTAGGCAGCTCACAGCATCATGAGGACCTGGGAGGGAGGCAAGTACTCTTGGGAGGGACCCCTGAACTGCAAGATAGGAAACCTTCGGGCTAAGCAGTGGCATTGGTCATGGCCCTTGACCCCTCTCTTTCCTCCTGACCAAATGGGACTTCATGAGAGCAAATGGAGCTAATTGATGTGACAGGGCTTAGAGATCTTGGGAATAAAAGTACAGTGTGTACACATGAGGTAATATATTTTCAAGGGACCATCTGTCCCTTTGGGCAAAAATGATGCATGGAAAGTAGTGTGAAGGGGCAGGTAGTAAACATTACACCAATGCCCAGACCATCAGCATCACCTGAGAACTTGTTAGAAATGCCGTGTCTTAGGCCCCATCCCAGACCTGCTGAATGAGAAATTCAGGGGATGGAGCTCAGCACTGCGTTTTAACCAGCCTTCCGGGTGATTCTGACATACACTAAAATTTGAGAACCACTGGCCCAGCCTTTCCCTCTGATTCTGTAGCTTAGGGTTAGGGTATTTCTGTTTTGACAGATGGTTATCAAGGTGACTTTTGACCCCCTTTCTTGGTTGAAGCCAGCTGCCCTGTACACTGTGACACAGTGTCCCTAGACTTTGTAAGAAAAGGGGAAAAAGCCTATATTGATGGTTATTTTTGACGCTTGTAGGTTTGATGGTTGCAGAAGAATTTGCCCTGGAGAGCTTGTTAAGAAGGAGGCAGGCCTAAAAGAGTCCTCCCTCCCTCTTCCACAAAGGTACTGATCTGTCTGCCTCACCTCCTGCCCTGGGGCCTGCTGCTTCTCGAGCCAGTCCTTAAAAGGAGCAATGGGTGCCACATTTGTTCTTTCTGGTGCCAGGTCTGCGCTATTTCACTTCGGCGGTGTCAAGTGGATGCTTAATGAGAGGCTGTGATGTAGGCTGGCAGACTTGTTGAGAGAAAGCAGCCTGTCTGTGGGCTCCTCTCATTGCCTTCCCCAGCCTCCAGTTCCCGGCTCAGTGAGGTTGTGGCCAGCTTGTGTGGGCCTTCCTTGTCAGCCCTGATAACCCTCGCTCAGAAAGAGAGGCTGGCCGAGGTCTGTGGATACTGATAAATGACTCAAGAGGCAGAAGTGAAGTGGTGTCTTGAGGTTCTTCTTTTCCCTTGACCCCCTGAGTTAGTCCCCAAAATAAGATGTAGCCATATGGAGAGTTTTGCCATTTCCTTTGTTCTTTTGGGGGCTAGTACCATCTTTTCCTGTTATTCCTATCCCTGAGGCCGGGGCTGGGGCTGCAGGTGACTGGCGGTCACACCTTCCAAACTTGTGCCTTGTTAGATGGCTGGGGGTCCCCTGCTTCCAGGGATCCCCAATGACCTGTCCCTTGACCATAAGAAAACAGTCATGCTGCTCCTTTGGGTAAAAACTTTAACTCTGGCAGGTGTGGAACTCCACAAGGGAGTTTGTTTCTGGGGAAAATATTAGAAAAACAAAAACTGTGATGTGAGTTCATGAGATTCCTACTGACATAAACAGAAGCAAAGAGGAACCACTCCGAGCTGTGAGAGCTAAGGGAAAATGCTTGGAACGTCCTTGTGATCCAGCCCGTGAGTGAGGGTGAAGAACACTCCCTGTAAGAGCAGGGTTACTTCGTGAGGCCTTTATCTGGCCTCAACCAGACTCTCCTAGGGGATTGAAGAAGCTCACTGTCCTGGGAGGTTGGGTAAACTTTACAAACCATCCCTTGTTCCCTAAGAGTGTATTGACCCCAGTGAAGATGAGACTAGAAGAGAAGGTAAAGGAAAAGATAGAAAACAAAGTAGACAGAGATCACACCAAATAGCTACTTCATTTATTCAACAGATATTTACTGAGTGCCTTCTGTGTGCCAGGCTACCATCCATAGAGTACCCACTGTGGGCTGGGTATATTTTGCATACTCTTATCTTTTATTTTTCTCAACAACCCTTCAAGGTAGGTATTACTAGCCCCATTTTGCAGATAAGAAAACTGAGGCTTTTTGAGGTTAAAATTGACCGAGGTCACCCAGCTAGCAGATGGCAGACCTAGGATTCAGATTCGGTCTGTCTGACCCCAAGGCCCATGTTTTTTCCACTCTACCATGCTGCCCGTCATCAGAATACATGCCTCCCTTGCAATGGTCCGCCACTCCCCTCTGCAAGGTGAGATGGACCCAGGATGGAGATGCCCTCCGCCTCTTCTGCCCTCCTTGTTTTGAGGCCTTAGGTAAAGCTGTCATCTCCTTACTGGCTCCCTCTTACCCTGTGTGCTGTCCCTTCTCAGTCCCTCCAGCTCTGTGCCTGGGTTCCTGATAGCCATGTCTCGTGAAGAACTTCCCACCTTTGAGGAGCAGTCTTGTCTGTTGGTTGGAGAGAAGGGCATCCAAGAGGAAGGCTCCCAGCCAGGCCTTTAAACAAAGGAGCCAGGAAGAGATACACCAGCCTTTTATGACCCCAAGGTTTGTGGAAAGGTGTCTAACTACCCTCCCTCCTGCTCCATAGCTGGTTCCATCCTAGAGCAAGAGGGGTGGCCACCATAGCTGTAGGTCCCTTATCCTGAAGAAGGGCTCCCTTTTGCTGAGGAAAGCTCAGTGATACTTGCCTTGCACTACAGTCTTCCTCCACTGAAGACACCCAGTGCCAGACTCCACTCTCTCCAACCCCTAGTGACTCCCATGGCATCCTTTCTCCTAACGTCCTTCTAGATGTTACCCCCAGGGAGAGAAGCCCTATTTCTCCATAGCCCTTCTGCCCAGCTTTCTCTCCTGCTTAGGTCCTGTTCTGAAGGCTGAATCAGCTCTGCCCAAATCCTACATCCCCATCCCATAGTCAAACCTGCTGTGGCATATCCCCGTTAATTAAGGCACATCTGCACAGTCGGCAGCATTGGAGTTTGGGAGCAGTTTGTGAATCTCAGAATTCGAATTCTTGATCACAATGATTTTTGGAGACATCTGAATTCAAGGGCTCTGCCTGAACCGGCTCTACCCTAGCCCTATCCTTTGGGAGTCGTGGGTTCCAGGGTTGGCTCCATGCTCCAAAGCATATATGTGTGCCGGGAAGGCAAGAGGAAAACTTGGGCTGGGTATCTTTCACCCTGCCCTAGTCATGGCTCACAGGGGTCTTTTTCCCATCTGCACAGGAATGTTCCCAAGCCTTTCCAAAACTCCTCTAACCAACCCCACACCAACCTCTTCCAGCCCCCTTCACCTCATCCTATTCCCTACCGGCTGTCTCACTCCCCACTAAAGGAAGTTGGCACCACGCACTCACTGGCCTCTCAAGCATCTTCCCAGGAGCCTCAGCTTCCCACCCCACTCTGAAGCCAGGAAGCTCCCACCCGGGAGGGGCAGCCCTCCCCCATCCCCTACATAGCCAGCAACCAGCCCTTAGAGTCTAGAGTCCATCTTTGCCCCTAGCCCTCCATATATTCTACTCCAAACTCTTACTACTCCAAGTGTGGTCCAGGGACCAGCAGTATAGGCAACAACCATGGCAGGGCTAGAGAGGAGGGGAGCAGAGGAGGTCATGTGGGGAGATCCAGGCAAGGGCTTGGGGGCAAAGGGCACACACGACGAGAAAGGGAAGAACACCTGCCTTTGTGAGCAGAGGTGAGATGGTTCCCTTTGGGCTCCTACCACCATCCTCAGCCCCTGTCAGGCACCTACAGCCAAGAACAGCTCCTGCTGTGCTGCCTGGATCTGCTGGATGACTGTCTCTTCCCTCCCTCTTGTTGGCAAAGTCACCATCGCCCACCGGCTGCATTGCTGGTAGTGGGTGCTCAGGAAATGTTTGTTGAATTGAGAGGAAGCCACAGCTTGTGCGGAGTCTGGATAATTCACCAGACGTTCGCCTCCAGGGAGGGGCAGGAACGGAGACTAAGTAGGAAAGACAAGTCCTGATGTCGTACTTAGCTGGAGTCACTGCTTCTCTGTCTCAGTCCCTGTCTGAGTCTTTGCTTTTGCATGATCATGGTGCAGGGAAGTGGTGGGGAAGAGGAAGTAGGAGATGGCAGGAAACAGCCCTAGGTGGCAGGGCTGCCATTCCCCCATTCAGGGTGCACTTGACGTCTGACCTGGGTGTGGGGCAGGGAGTCCCTGATGGTGAGCTCACCACCCTACTGTGGGGAGAGAAAGCTGTCCCCTCCTCACTCAACCCCACCGCATTTCAGAGAGGAGGCCTTTCCAGGCACCCTCCCTTTCGCAGAGGAGACCCAAGCTCTGCATTTCTGTCCCCAGCTCAGTCCCTCCTGGCGGTGTGGCCTCCCTTTCTCTGAACCACAGCCTCCTCTTCCAGAAAGGCGAGAGTCTGCCAGCTGATTCTGAGATTCCCCTGGTTTGGCCGTCCTGTGCATCTGGGACCGTGAGTCACCTGGGTGCAAGTCAGAGGTGTGGGAAAGGGCCCAGGCCTAGGCTGGCCGTGCCAGCTGCTGAGGCTGCCTGCACCTGAGGAGCCGGAAGCTGGCAGCTAGAGAGGGAGGCCAGGCTCTGGGGGTGACGGGAGCCAGGCGAGCCAGGTGCTGCATGTTTCCAAGCTGTGTTCTCTCACTATGGCAGGGAAGCCTGTGGCCTGGGCAGCAGTTGGCCCAGGACAGGGCTCGCCAGCCTCAGAGACCACGTGTGGCACAGGAATACACCAGGGGCTGTACCTGCCCATGAAAACACACATGTGCACAGGGATGTGCACGTGAGGTGCAGGGAAGGACAGCTACTTGCCCTCACAATGTCACTCTGCCAGAGAGTTAGGCAAACTGCTCAGCTAGACTGCCACAGCCACCAGCAACCAGACGCCCACTACACAGGAGACTCTTGACTGCGTTCCTCCCTCCTCCTCTCCCCAGCCTGGCCCCTGCCCACAGGAGCTTTGCTCAGCATCTTCCTGCAGGGCCAGGACCCCCTGTCCTGCTCCTCATGCCTCCTGTGCCCCTCGCCCTTTGGCCAGTTCCTCTGGGGGCCCTGCTTCGCGGTGCCAGGCCCTGCTGGGCCCCAGCCTTACCAGACCTGTCTTCTCTGGGCTCTAGGGGCCCTGTTCCTCTTTGTGGCTCAGAGCAAGTCTGGACTTCCAGCTTGGCCTGGGGGTCATCGTGCCACCCCAGGGGCTGCTCAGAACCATCCGGGCAGGACACAGGGCTCTCCTGAGACCCAGGCCTTAGATTGAGTGCACACACACTCTCCCTGGGTCCAGGGCTACTAGCCCCTCCTAGAGAGAGGTCAAGGGGAACCAAGTCAGTGTTTTGTGGAGAGCCAGGGCCAGGACTGGCTGTGGAAGCTCCTGACTCCCCTTTCGGCCCCTCTGGGGTTGTTGGGGCTGGGCTGGTTGCTGGGGCGCTCGTGGGTCTGCCCGGCTCCATCCTGCTCTGTGTCAGTGCATGTTCCTTCTCACTTGGAGTCTTTCTGGTGCTTTGGCTTCCCTGAAACAAGAGATTGGCCCTCCTGGCTGGTGAATTCGGGGACCATGTCCCTATCCTGCCCCAGCCTATGCCCAAGTACTCACCTCCTGACTCTCCAGCCCCTCTTTGTCCTCCTTCATTTCCCACCTGTAGAAACACAGCACATGGCAGGCCCCACTCCTACCCACCCCACTTCACATCCCCCACTCTGTAGCTGGTGGCCCATGTTCCCCAGGGAGAAGCTAGAGCCCAAGGGTCTCAGAGGAGCATCAGAGCCAGAACGAGGCTCCAGGATGCTTTCCTTGCAACTGACCTTGCTCCCCAAATCCATTCATTTCCTCTGAACACCGCCCATCTTAGCCCCATCCCAAGTCCCCAGCTGTTGTTTATGGCCAAGCCTGCAGCACCTTGAGTTCTGCGGGGACTCCAGGCGTGTCCTTGCCTGCACTGCCTGGGAAAGGCGCGCCTGACTTCTCGGGGGAAGGTAACTGCTGTAATTACTGCTGGCCTCCCTGGGCACCAGGCTCTTGCTGCTGCTGCCTTTGCTGATGGCCTCTCCTCACATCTCATTAACCTGCCGCCAGGCAGCAGTCAGGCAGGAGGCAGAGGCCCTGGGGGCTGGAGTGAGCACCTGGACCAGTGCCGGTGCTGACTTCCCAGGGGCAAGGGAGATGCAGGAAATCAGGGAGCCCAGATGCCTCCCCTGATCGTGCCCCCTGCCACCTGTTACCTGCGGGCCCTGCCAGTCAGCCTCTCCATCCCCCGGGCTTTGCTGCGTGTGGCTGATGCCCCCGAGGGTCTGCTGGGTTGCCCACCCCGAGTAGTACCACCTGCAAGAGATGGTCCACAAATCAAGGAGAAAAGAAGGCCATAGCAGCCCAGCTCCTTCACCAGGTCATGGGACCCTGCTGCTCCTTCTCTCCCAACTCACCTTTGCCATCAGGGGGCAACAGTGGTGGTTGCAGCTTCCGGTGGCTCCTGGGACCTAAGTGGGGCAAAGGAAATGGGGAAAGGGTGGGGTGACAAAGGACCCAAAGCAGGAACACGAGTTCTTCCAGGACCAGGAAGCTGTCAGTCCAGTTGTGGGTTTTCTGGTTCCCAAAAGGAACCCTGGCCCCGGGGGTCAGGAGGGCTGGGTCCCTGCACTCGCTTTGCCACTCCTGGCCAGGTGACTGGCCCAGCATCTCCAGCGCCAGCTTCCTCGTGTGTGGAATGAGGGGCCAGTAATTCACAGGCCAGAGCTGTTCCTACAATAGGGCGGGGGCAAGGAACGAGAGCTTTCACCCAGGAGGGACCAACAGCCCAAAGGGACCCCAGGGCAGACTTCCTCATGAGCCTCCTCCGCAGACCTTCGGGGGTCAGAACTCGGGGCAGGAGCTGGGGTTTGGAGGGTGAGAAGGGAGGTCATGGTGCCCTCCTCTGATAGAGAGAGGAAGGAAGATGTTTCTCCATGCTTCCTTCCGGCTCTGAAAATAAGTGGTAAACCAAGAAATAGAGAAAAGAGACAAAGAAGGGGTGAGGAGTGAAACAAGCAAGGAGGGGAGGGGGTGAGGTGGGTGCTGGCTCACCCCTGGTGCTGCCCGCCCTGGCCGGGCCGTCTTCTCGAGGCTTGCTGGAGTCCTGTGGCCTGTGGAGACAGAGAGAGGGAGTCAGGCCGCTGGCACAGGGAGGACAGAGGCTGCAGCAAGACCCACACTGACACCATCTCCCCCAACCCCAGTCCCAAACCTGAGGGCAGCAGGGAGATGGTAGGCCCAAGAAAGATGGGAGACCCAGGGCCCAGACAGAGGCCCCAGGCAGACCCTCACCACCCTGGTTAGCGTCCCAGCAGCCCTCCAAGAAGCACCCACAGTCAGTCCTACCCCAAGCCCCACAAACAAGTCAGCCCAACGAGCTGCCCAGCCCTGCCACCCACGTGGGCTTGGCCTTGTCCAGGTCCCATGGGCGGCGCCAGTCACCCTGTGCATCTCTGTGTCGGGCGAGGCGGGCCAGGTCAATCTGCTCCCGCTCCTGTTTCCACTGAGCATAGTCCCAGCCCACCTCTGGGGGTCCCCCCACTGGCCGGCGGGGAGCTGGGCCTGGGACCAGGCCTGGACTCCGGGGCTCCCGAGTGGCCTGCAAAGACAAGACACGCAGCACCATGGGGATAGAAGCAGAAAGAGCTCTGGGCTGGGAACGGGGATCCAGAGAATCTACTAACCCCTTCCTCTCTCAAGGTTTCGACGTCCCCATCTAAAAATTAGATCCACGCCATCTCTAACATGCTGTTTGCCATAGGCACGGTTTCCATCCATTTGTTAGCTGTGTCTTTTAGGCAAGTTACTTAACCTTTCTGTGTATCATTTTCTCATCTGTAAAATGGGGATAATAATAGCACCTATCCACGGGGTTGTTGCAGGGGTATGTGGACAGGCCCAGGGTGGAGAGGCACCAAGCAGCCGTGAGCCGGAGCCAGGACTAGGGGCTGCTGCCACCTAGAGGTCACACCTGGCACATGGCCAGTCCCCTACACCCCCCTGGCCCTCCCCAAGGTCCCCACCCAGTTGCCACCAGAGGACCAGATAGGGTAAGGGGCTGGGTCACATCTCTGGCCCGCCCAATGGGGAGACTGGCCCAAGAAAGGAAGAAGGGGTGGGAATTCTTGCAGGTGCTCCTGGGCCATATCTCCACGGATGGGGCACGTATGCGACTCAGCTTCTTGGCCTCCCCCAAATGGGGACTGCCACATTTATCTCCCCATACCCTCTTGAAGATGTACCTTCCGTGCAGAATCTGAGCTGCTGGGCATCTGCATAGAGGGGCTCTGGCCCAAGCCCCCTCCAGGTGACCCTTCTGCTCCCTGGTTCCTTGCTCTGCTGGGCTTCTCACTTACGATCCGCTTGGCCTGGGGGAGATGAGGATGGGCAGGGTGGCAGAGCAGGGGAAGAAGAGGCTGCCCCCTGGGGCCTGGGCTTCCCACACCCACCCAGCTCACCTCAGCTTTGTTTTCCATGGTCACAGCCAGCTCCACCCGCTCCCCCAAGCAGAAAGCACCGGTGTGGTGCTCCACCTCCTCATCCTCAAGCATCTCCTCGGCTGCCCTGGATCCCAGGCTGCTCCTCGCCCAGTTCCGGCTGACCACCCGCTTCTCCTGCAGAACGAGGTGCCGTGCCCTCAGGCCGCAGCAGCAGCGCTGGGCAGGAGCTGGGGGCTGGGTCCATTGGGTGGTTCCCCAGGCCGGGCTCTGGCCTTGGCCCTCCCTGGAATGCCCACAGAGGAGCTGACTCCGCAGGGCGTTCACATGCCAGTGGCATTAGATTATCCAGGGCCTGGGGCCACCCAAGGGCCCAAGATGCCACAGTGGCCCGTCATCTCTGAGCTGGGAAATCCAGAGCATTCTGACAATGAGGCTTTGTCCCTCAGACACTGTTCCTGGCATTCAGCCCCAACTTCTCTGTCCCCCTGGGGTTTGGGATTTGGAGCAGCCTGTGCTTTGGGGCATAGGTTCCAGGGGCTGGAAAAGGGTATGAGGAGGCTTCTATTTGGTTGCCTTTCAGCTGTGGCCCTTTGGAGACGAGGGGACAACACTGAGATTGGAAGTGGTGGGTGCACCCCAGAACTGTAAGTAAGAGAAGCAGAGGAGCAGGGACAGTTGTCCTCCCCCAGCACAGGCTGGGCCTCCACCTCCTCGCCAACCCACCCTATCTCCCAGGTGGGGCTTACGCCAGGAATCTGGCTGATGGTGACAGTGAGGCCATCAGGTCGGAGGAGCTCCGGCATGGTCACAGCCATGCCCCCCTGCTCTGCCTGCCGACGGTCTTCCTGGATCTCCTGTGGGAGGGCCTGGGATCAGCACAGGCCATGGCCCCCCCAGACGCACAGAGACACAACGCTGACAGGCCTACACGGAGAGACACCAGTGGGACACCAGGGGGCAGAGCTCCATATCACAGAGTCCCCAAGACCCTCGCAGAGCCTTTGAGATGGATCACACCCACCCTAACCCTGTCCCCAGGCCCAGAGCCTGCAGGGAGAGACCACCATGCAGGGGTCTGCGGGTCAGACAGGGAGTGCCAACCCGGTCAGTCCTCCCGGCCCTGTCACAGCCCACTCACCTGGTACCTGCGTAGTAAGGCCTGGTTCTTCTTGCGAAGGGCAACTATCCTCCGATCCAGCTCTGCGTCCTTCTCTTCCTGCCTGCTCATCGGGGACTCGGCCCCATGAGGCCCCTGCAGAGGGCAGGGGGCCCAAGTTCCTGACTGCTGAGCCCAACCCTTACCAGTTCCCCAACTTTCACATTCTCCCACCCAACCATATTTTTACCACTCAAGCAACAAACCCTAGACCCAGAGCTAGGGTCACACAGGAAGGAAAATGGTCACTCGGGGAGATGGTACATGGAAAGCCCCAAGCCCCTACCCCACTAGGCCCGTCTGCCCATCTCTCTGCCTCCTCAGGGGCTCAGGTCAGGGCCTCATACCCAGGCCGGCAGCTGCCAGCAGTGGGCTGCCCCTCCCCCTGGCTCTCCAGGGAGCTCTACTGCTGAGCTGAGCCTGGAATGGGAGTTATAAATGGCTCTGGCAGCGGAACCTGCCGTGACTGGGAAGTTGCCAGGGGATTCAGGAGATCGAAGGGGGAGCTGTTTGGCTCCCAGGCCCAGGACCACAGTGAAAAGAGAGGCCTCTGCTCCGTCCTGGGCTCCCAGGCCCTGAACCCCACTCCTCAGGCCTGTGCCCAGCCTGTGGGAAAGAGCCGTGTCCACGGGCCCAGCCTCTCCAGGCCGGAGCTGCTGGCAGTCCAGGCAGGAGAGAGCCAGCTCGGTGAGCAGGCCCAGCCGGGGAGCCACCCTGGACGAACTATGGCTCTGCACCGAGATCCCCGGGTCCCCCTCTGGCTGCAGGGACTCTGTTGTGGCCAATGCCCCTGTCCAGCCCCCCGACCCGCCTAGGCACAGCACTCTTCTTCCCAGGCCCAGCTGTCCCCAGCTGCCCCCAGAGTGTGGCTGTCAGTGTCCCAGCCCCTTCCCAACCCCAAAAAGCCCCCCGTCAATGGCGAGGTGCCACTCACAGCCGACTGCATGGCAACCGCAGGCACCGAGAGAATTCCAGAGCAGCCCCGGGGGAGCGAGAGCAGGAGGGAAGCCGGAGCCACTGGAGCCGGGCCTCTGCCGGCCTCTCCCTGCCGGCTTTGCTGCTCAGCACACGAGATCATGTTGTGATTACAAAAGACTCCTCTGGGCTCCCAGCCAGGAACGCCGCGGCCACTGCCCCCACCCATCCACTCTCAGAGGGCGAGGACCGGGGCACCAGCAGCCAGCTGGCCCTGCCCAGCACCTCTCCGTGCCCTGCCCCAGCGTCCCCAGACAGACTGGCAGGGACTTCTCCCTGGTGGGTTGAGCCCACACAGGGGGCCTGGCTGCCCCAGGCCCTGTGCCCCAGCGGGATCCCAGCCTAGGTCTGCCTGCAGGAGGATGGCAGCCGGCGTAGGCCCCCATCCCTCCCATTAGTAGAGAAAGGCCTAAGGATACAGCCCAGTCCATTGGGCTCCCTGGTCTGAGGGCTCCCACCCCAAATGAGCCTCTCCTCACTCTGGTCGGTACTGGTTTAAGTAATTAGAGGGATCAAGAAGCCTAGGCCACCAAGTACTACTGCATACCTAAAATAACCCCATTAGTCATTCATTCCTTTAGGTTGAACATTGTCTTCCCTGTATTTTAAAGTACAGCCACTCCTGGGAGGCTCAGCTGATCTCCCTTGGCATGGGGAGCTGGGTCCCCCTGCAGGCCCCGTACCACTACAGCTCAGAACTGGCCAATGGCCTTCTCTCCTCAGGCTCCTAACTCTGGACCCTTCCCAGCCTTGCTCTCCAGGGCTGGCCCTTTCAGCCTCTCTGACCTCGAGAAAGGAAGCAGCCCTTCTCGGGAAAGGCTCTCCCCAAATCTTCCCAGTACAGCTGAGGCTACTGTCTCTGCCCAGGGGAGCAGCTTGCCCAGCAATCCCACCCTTAGAGCCTCTGGGACCTGGGGCTTGGGGAGTGCTGGGAGGAGGGGTGGTCTCTGTATCAGGAGCACCTGGGCTCTGTTTCAGAAGTAACAGGGCCCGACCTCCAGGCCCTGAGGGGAGGGTCAGAGGTCCCTGCATTCCCCACATCCCTGATTGACCAGGCCTCAGTTCCCTAATCCCATGCCACAACTTTTCCCCTTCTATCTCCAAGGCAGAAAGCCCTGCTGCCCTCTCTCTCCTCCCCAGACCAGCCCAGGCAACCAGAGGTCCAACCTCTTGAACTATCCCCTTGAACTATGCCTTCCTGTCGGCCCTCTATTCCCCACCACACTTAGCCTCTTTCCTGACTAGGCCTTCACACAGCACCCGTGACCCCCTACACCTGAGCACCACTGCCCCAGAGTTCCCATCCTGCTTGAAAATGCCACTGCGCTCTCTTCCTTTCCTGCCGGATGTTCCCACTGAGTCAGACTCATCTACTTTCCCAGCAACAGTGACGCAGCCAGGCTTCTCACCCTGGGCCTTCCTTTCTCTCTCTCACACACCAGCTCCTCTCCCACCCCCTCCACGTGCCACCCCACACAGGCTGTGAGTTCCAGCCCCGCCTCCGAAGGCCAGGGGCAGGTCCCTGGTGGAGCGGCAATCAAGCTTCCCATCACCTGCCCCACACCATGTTGTTGGAGCCGAGAGGCCCGCAGAGCACTGGCCTGAGACAGGGAGAGGCCACGGGGACCTCTGTTGTTCTCTTGTTCTCTGTTGTCTTTGGAACCCAGGCCCCCAGACCAGGTGGGGGAGGAGGGGTGTAGATAGAGGAGGCTGCAGGGGTGAGGCAAGGGCTGCCGTCTCCCTCGCTCCTGTTCCCAGCCAGGCAAGGGGCAGGACAGCAGCAGGGGAGCAGCAGACACAGGTAGAAATCCTGCCATCCTGTAGGGAGGGTGACCCAACTCTTCTGGATCGGCTGCAGAGAAACTCCCCTAACCGAGAGACAGAGGCCTCCCAGCCCATCAGGCTGGAGGCCCACGTGCGCGGGATAAGCTGACAGTCAGAGAGGGCCCCACGGTTGCTGGCCATATGCTTCCCAGTGTTCCTCACAGAGTATGTCATACCTCGGAGCAGCCCCCACGTTCTCCTATTTCTTCCAGAGTCTGTGGTTTGCTTTTCTGCACCCGCCATTGGACAGAGGCTCCCTGAGGGCAGGAATGGTGTGCTAAGTGCCTAGATCCCCAGGACCTGGCACAGTGCCCTTGCAAACTACAGACCCTCCCTCAGCACTTAAAGAATGAATACATGAGGGAATAACCCATGCTCTCCTGTGCATAGCTGTGGGTATCCTATGCATAGGCTGTGACTGCCTTTCCCTCCACCCAGAACACATGCAGCCCTGAGAGAGGCTGTGGGTGGTAAAGGCCTCTAAAAGTGAACCCGCCTCCCCTCTCCTGGAGAGGAGACCACCGGAGGCAGGACGACCAGCATGATGCTCCACGGTGAGACCACGTCTCTGTTACTCCATGCTACCACTAGGGGGCAGCAGAGTTACAAGGCCTGGTTTGGGGAGGGCTCTTCTCTGTCTAGTCTCCTGCTCCCCAGCTCCTCTCCCCAAGCCTTCGTAAGCGCACCTCCCAACTCCACTGGACTAGAGAAGCTGCGCAGTTGTGGAAGCCTTTTTTTATTGATGAGGAGGCCCAGAGAGGTGGCGCCATCTGCCCAGGCCGCACAGCCTGTTTGCGGCACAGATGAGACAGAAGCCGGGGCGCTTGGCTCCCTGCCCAGTGCTCTTTTCCCCCGCTGCTTGCTGACCGGACAACGCTGTTTCTGCTGATACTTCACTCTGTGCCATCCCTCTCTCCGCCTGGGGATGTGCCCGTTGTCCTAGCACCTCGACCACGGGTCCAGGTCACATCTCTTCCCTGGCTGGTCCCCCACACTCTCAGGAGGCCTGCCAGCTGGGCCACGGCCCCACACCTGGGATGGTCATAGTACACAGATCCAGAGCCAGCCCTGAGGACAAGATGGCTGCCAGTCCGGAGATTCTCACTGAGGAGGAAACAGGAGGGAGGCCTGCAACGGAGAAAAGACCCTCTGGGCCACACGCCAGACTGGGGGCACAGACCTGGCAGAGGCCGTACCCCTGGGGCCTGCGCCACTCAGACCTCCTTCACTGTTTCCAGAATGGCTGCCTCTGCTGATGGCTGATTAATAAAATATAAGCACTCCAGCCCTTCTCCTGCTCCTCAACCTTGTCATGAGATGAGGCAGAGTGGAATGGTGGATTCCAAATTAACTTCACTCCTCACTGGCTGTGTGTCTCTAGGTAAGTCCCTTATCTCTCTGGTCCTCATCTGTAGAGTGAGGTGTACCTATGTAACCAGACTGAAGAGTCGGATTGCCCAGGTTCTTGGTCAGAATAAGAGAGGAATTCAGACACCGACACACCGGCAACAGCAAGCAAGCAAGGATTCATTAGAGGAAAGGTCTGGTACACTCCAAGTGAGGAGTGGGCAGTGCCCAGAGAACGCGTCTGCCCCGTGTCTTGAGTTAGTTTTATTTTATTTTATTGTGTTTGTGAGGAAGATCAGCCCTGTGCTAACATCAGCCAACCCTCCTCTTTTTTTGCTGAGGAAGACTGGCGCTGGGCTAACATCCGTGCCCATCTTCCTCCACTTTATGTGGGACACCACCACAGCATGGCTTGCCAAGCAGTGCGTCGGTGCGCGCCTGGGATCCGAACCAGCGAACCCCGGGCTGCCACAGCAGAGCGTGTGCACTTAACCGCTTGCACTACCGGGCCGGCCCGAGTTAGTTTTATTTTTATTTGGGCTGTCTAGAAGGGAATTAGCATTATCTGGTTATCCGCCAATAATGGTTTTTCCTCCACCCTCACGTTGTCGGGAGGGGGAGTTCTTGACCTTTTAGGGGAATCTCCGGAACTGTCATGGCAGTCATCCCCTGTGGAAGGGGGGCTAATGCATATGGAATTCGTATGTAAATTCAAGAAAGGTCAGTGTCCTCTGGAGATGTATATAGTAGAAGGCTTTGTATGTGTTGTTTGTGCACTTGTTATCTTTATCGTCATGGTTGAAGGTCTCCGGTGGCAGCGCCAGGCGGGTCTCAGTTCCCCTTTATCTGCATCTTGTGGGATGCCAGCAACTCGTTTCTTTGATGTAGCAAGGTCTCCAGCTGTGAGTCCCCAACTCATGTTTGGATGCCAGTAAGACGCTCCACTGATGCAGCAAGGTCTCCAGCTATGACCCCCCGCTCATGTCTACTGAGCCACCTATCTATCTCACCTACGTTACCCAGTTATTGGCAGATGAAATGAAATAATACGGTAACATCGTATCTGGAGCAACGTGTGACCCAGAGTAAAGCTCAGAATAGTTTTCTTCTTGCCTCAGGTAACCATGATAGCCACCATCTGGGTGCCACCACCACAGCATCCTTCGAGGGGCCCCAAAGGCTGCCTCCCACCATCCCGCTGGGGCCTGAACACATTGAAGACCTCTGGGCTCTGGGGACTGTTTGTGACCTGATCAGGGAGATGGCACCCCCTCAGCACCCTCGGTGCTTCCCTTCATGTTGTTTCCTGCCCAGCAAATCCTGCAAGGCCGGGCTCCTGCCCCACACCCTCCAGGAAGTCCTTCCTGCCTGCTCACCTCCCCCATACCCTGTCCACTGTGAAGTCCCAGGCCCTGGCTGCCATCTCTCTCCGGCTGTCCTGGAAGCAGGCCCTGTGCTTCACCTGCTCTGGATCCCTCCAGGCCCAGTTCCAGGCTAACGTCCCACCGCCCGAGAACCCTTCTTCTTGGCTGGGGCTGAGCCCTTAGAGGTCACTGGTACCGGTTGCACCAGCTCTGGGTTAGTGGATGAGTGTTGAGGAAGCGGGTGGGCAAGGCTAGATTGCTGATAGCCCAGCTACTAGGCAGGTGACCTTCCAGACCTTCCAAATGGGAAGGGGCCAGAGGGTGGCTTAAAGCCTAGTGTTCCTTTCCTATAAGCCCGCTCCTCCCCCTCCCTGCCATGGCCATTCCTGGCTCGAGAAACTGCTCTCCTGACTCCTACTGACTAGAGGTCAATGTGCAGGCATCTCCGGTCAGGCCAGGCCTGGCCCTGGGTGGGCCCTGGTGGGCCCTGGGTGAGGCCCTGGGGCCTCACAGGGCATGAGGTGGGGCTGGAGGGACCAGCCCTGGGCAGGCTCCAGCTGCCAAGGACAAAGTCTGGCCCTGC